CCCCGCAAAATTACCTTTCTGAGTGTTTATAGTTGATTTCCTTTTGAGAGTTTCACCTGGTTAGTTCTTTCTACTTTCGAGAGTTAAAAGTACTATTTCTTTGGTGTTAATTAAACACACTCCACACAAATTGTAAAAGGACAAGCACATATAATTTTCTGCCTTACTGGGATAGTTGAAGTCCGCATTGATGTCAAAAGAGTTCAGAAACATTGTCACATGCTCAATCCCTAACTTCACATCCATTGTACAAAAAATAAAAAGGAACCGGATGTGTGAATACCATGAAAGATATACAAGAAAAAATCAAATTGGGCTTTCGTTTCCACGAAAGATAATCCTACCAAGAAAAAGAACAAAAAATTTTGCACATCAAATAAATTGAAATTGCATAAGCAACCTTACAGATTTAAGTTTTTCCCCCTTCTTGTCATATAAAGGGACTGCTCGGATGCCAGGTCTCAACTCTGAGACAGGCAAACATGTCTGTCCTCCAAAATCATCCTTATCTGACATGTCATATTCTCGTACTTCAATCCGAAGCAAAGCCAGCTCTGGAACTGTCAAAGGGAATTTGAACTCTTCACCCCATATGGGACCCCAATCGTCCTCTATTATCCTCGTCTTTCTCTTTGCAGCATCTGCTGGCACTCCTATTATATATAGCTGCCATCAACATTCATTGGAGGATCACTAAACCTTTCATGTACAATTCTCTTAACTACATTCAGCAAAGCAGAAAGGCGAACTCATTTGTGCACAGCGGAAAGGAATGACTTGCTAGAAGGCAAAACTACATCTTCTAGTCATCTCTTGACTATGAGTGTGTTAGAGTAACATTCTGATTAGTATGTTAGTTTCAGCCAACAACTAGCGCAATGGCTACTGTTTAAACTCCATTAAAACATGCTTTGGCTATTCCAAATTTTTAGTTGAAAATTGTTCTTGCTTTTGCTAAAATTATCTGCACTCTTGTTTTTTCTTTTAAATTAAAAAGCAGCAATAGGTAGTTTAACAAGTGTTATATCTTGATAAATTGGTAATATGTTCAATTCTGATAAATCATAAGCAAGTAATAAGCAGCAACAATCCAATTTAATCAACTATTCATTAAAGAAACAACTCCCACATTACTTGATGTTTCCAATATATCACTTGTAGAGCTCAAGGGAAAGATGGTTCGATCTAACCAAATCTGGTCGTCCACAATATGGTTAGCCATTAGGCAATAAGATGAATCCAACCTATTGGAACAATTGATGTAGCATCACTAACCTTCGTGTAGAAGTCTGGGGGAGAAAAGGTATCAAAGTGCGTATGGCTGAAATCCATGCGCCATCCATCTCCCAAGTATACTCTAACCTGCAAAAAAAGATCAAACTTCTTTTGAGTATCATCAAATAAACTAGAGTTTGTTATAATCTCTACATCACACATTCATTTACCCATAAAGTTTTCTTCACCGGCGATGTTACTTTGGGATCAAATACTTCATTACGTGGTCCTCTTTCCATGAGAAAAACGGGCTTTTTTACATAGCCACATCCTCCATTAGACCTAAACATCCCATGCATAATCCAGAGTGATTTCCCATATCCCTATTATATAAAGTTGAAATAGCAATTAGACAGAATATAAGGAATCACATTGATCTAAAAATTATTAACGGGAATCATCGTGGGTAGAATTGTCCGTTAAGTACATCGTATTAAAATTCATTTGTTTTCTATTTTTTTAAACGAAGTTTGAGCAATGGGCAGCAGAGAAATGTAAAATAATAGGAAAGGTCAATTTAATGAATGAATGAATTAAATGTAATGTTTGTCACATTGGATCAAGATGCCTGAGCTAGTGAATCAACCCAGAGCATTTTTGTATTAAATGTTGCTGACAGGGTCAGAGGCCCTTAGTCATGTCAAAATGCGTGTGCTCAATTTGATGCAAATTTTGTGATGACCATGATAGACCAGCCTACCCAAGAATTCCCAAAAGAGACATACTGATCCGTGATAAAAGTGCAGAAGAAAATGTCTCCACGTAATCCATGTCTATATGAAGAGATCCTCATTTAACTCAGAGGCTGATCGAGAATTTGAACATTATGGCTTCGAGTTCGGAATTCTACCACAACTATTTGATAATGGGTTCAAAATCTATTATTAGTACTTTAAACACATATACAGGATGTGAGCTAAAGTTACTAGGTGTTGGGATTGATTTAACATGGTCCATGAAGAAGCTAAAAGTGCAAAACTTGGTGAACGATAAATTAGACAAAAAAGAAATATGCTAAAGAAACATATTATATTAATATGGTTTTGTCAAGTGACCTGCATAAATTTACTTATATTAAAAGAAAAAAACTTATTGAAAGAATAAATTCTCCCCTAAACAACTCTTTTAGTGACTACATTGTGGATGTTGTTGTTGTTGTTGTGAGAAGCAGAGATCCTCAATTTATATATTTTGAAGACTTTTCCTCCAAGAAAAGTATAACGCATATAAAGAAGATTTATTCTTTTAGGAGTCTTTTTCTCTTTCTTCAACAAAGAAAATCCTGATAGATTGTATATTCAGGCCAAAACCCTAATATTTTTCCCCTTGGTTTGAATTTTCTAACAAAATAATCCTGATGTGTCTTCTTCACATAATCTTCAACGTCAACTATTGCTTGCCATGTTTAAAAATAGGTATAAGTTGAAAAATCTTGGCGTTGGTTAAAAGAAGCCTAAGAATGGGTTAAATGAAGCACACACATTAAAAATAAGCATGAGCTAAAATTGACTTTGATTGAAAATAGCTCATCCGCTAAAAATAAGCATGATTTAAAACTAGCATTGGAGTTCATGCCTTACAAGTAGGCATGGCTTAAAACTGACGTTGGTTAAAAGTGGCCTAAAACTGACGTTGGCCAAGTGACCCACATAAGTCTACTAATAAAAAAAAGAAGGGCAGCCCGGTGCACTAAGCTTCCGCTATGCGCGGGTCCAAGGAAGGGCCGGACCACAAGGATTTATTATTCGCAGTCTTACCCTGCATTTGTGCAAGAGGCTGTTTCCACGGCTTGAGCCCGTGACCTCCTGGTCACATGACAACAATTTATCGGTTACCCCAAGGCTTCCCTTTATAAGTATACTAATATAAAAGAAAAACAATTATTGTGAGAATAAATTTTCCGATAAACAAAACTCTTTTAACGACTATATTGTGGATGTTGTTGTTTTTGGGAGAAGCGAAAATAATCAATTTATAGATGTCGGAGATTTTTCTTAGGGCAAAAGGATAAGGCACATGAAGAAAAGGATAAAGCACATGAAGTAGATTTATTTGTTTTTGGAGTCTTTTTCCCTTCTTTCAGGAAATAGAATCGTAATAGATCATGAATTTAGGGCAAAAAAACATTAGGCTTGGATGAACCCATGACTAAAGCACTATATTCGCCTCTAATTTAACCCTATGTTTTCTATTTTTCATCTATAATTACTCAACAATTTTGTTTATAAAGTAAACAGATACTAACCTCCAAGACATAAAATAGAGGAAGAAAAGGTAAAATAAAACACAAAAAGTTGCAGAAGAAAAGAAAACGACAACAGAGATAACTAAACATTGTGCAACATGGTAAGACTGAAATAATGGAACAGCAGTTCCTAAATGTTGTGGCACAAGGAGAAAGAGAGATGATGAAAGAAAAAAAATAATAACAATCAAGGGCAGAAATAAACTCAGGGTAGAGGAACATGAATGTACCAGTTACCTGCATGTTAAATGCAACCATTTGAGCTCCATGCATCCAGCCAGTCATAGGCTTAAAATTTGAGGAGGTAACTCGTGTTCCCTTGGGAAACACCCTCAGTATATTCCTTTGAGTGAACCTAGCAAATAAAAGAAGCATAACTCAAATACGGAATAAGGTGGAGTAGTCTCGTCAATCACTTCAAACATGGTTAAGAACTAAATACCTGACCAAATCCTTTCCATAATTTGTTGCAGCTTTTTCAAGTGCTTGTTCATCCAAACTAAGACGATTGAATTTAACGATTTTATCTGTTAGTGCACGCTTCACCCCATGTTTTGCCTTCCCAGCATGAATTGCTATCAGACGCTTGTACTGAGGTGCTTCTAGCTGGGATGATTGGTTGCTGGAGGTATCATTATCTTCATCGTCTTGATCAGTATCACTCTAAAAAATGCCAGAAGATAAGATTAGCATGCCAAAAAAGAAAGAGAGATTGCGGAGACAGTTCCAATGTTGCTTTACCCTCTCATCAGTTTCATGTTCTTCTTCTATGATATCTGAGTTCTCCTTTATCAGAAAGTCCTCTGGAACTATATCTTCCCTCACAGAAGATGCACTTTCTCTATCACTGTGATTCTTAATCTCTTGAGGTGTTGGTGAATGCCTCAACCGACATTCAGCCTTCCCGGCATGCATTGCTACCATGCGTTTATACTGAGGTGCTCCTTGCTGGGATGACCGACAGTTGGGATCTCTACCTAGGTCATCTTGATCAGTATCACTCTGAAAATGCCAGAGAGAAGAAGATTAGAATGCCAAAGAAAGAGATCATAGAGAGTTTTAAGTTGTTTGATTTACCCTCTCATGAGTTTCATGTTTTGCTCTAATTTCTGAAGTAATCTTGACCATAAGGTCCTTTTCAACTGAATCTTTTCTCACTGGTGATGCACTTTCTCTGTCTCTCTGGTACTTTGACTCAACATACTCTTTGGCCGGCATGGGAGAAAGAGGAGTCCCATTCTTAAGCTCTTCGGGTATTTGAACATGCTTCAAGTCATGATTTGCCTTCCCAGCATGCATCGCTACCATGCGCTTGTACTGAGGTGCTCCTAGCTGAGAGGATGGATGGTTTGAGGGATCACTGTCTTTGTTATCTTGATCCATAACTGTCTGGAAATGCCCGAGAAAAGTAGATTAGCATTCCAAAATGAAGAAAGATAAGAAACAGTTTCAACATTTTCTTTATTACCCTCTCATCAGCTTCATGTTCTTCTACTGTAGTTTCTGAAGTCTCCTTGACCAAAAAGTTCATTTCAACTGAATCTTTCCTCACTGGAGATGCATTTTCTTTGTCTCTGGGATGCTTCAGATCAAGATCTTCTCGGGATGGTTTGGTAGCAAGAACTGTTTGATGCTTAAGCTCTTCTACTATGAGTGCATGCTCCAAGTCACATTTGGCCTTCCCTGCATGAATTGCTGTCAGACGTTTGTACTGAGGTGCTCCCTGCTGGGATGATTGGTAGTTGGAGGTATCACCGTCTCCATCATATTGATCAGTCGGACTCTGAAAAAGTGCCAGAAAAAGGAACTTATCATGCTGAAAGAAAAGAGAATGAAAGACAGTTTTAACATTGTTTTACCCTATCATCAGCTTCATGACCTTCTGTTGTAACTTCTGAAGTTTCCTTGATCAAAATGTCCCCTTCAACTGAATCTTTCTTCACAGGAGATGCACTTTCTCTGTCTCTTTGATGCTTCGACTCAAGATACTCTTTCGGTGGTTTGGTAGAAAGAATAATCCGATGCTTAAGCTCTTCAGGTGAAGGAAATTCCTCTAAGCATTCTGACTGAGGATAATACAGCGTCTCCCCAAAGACTTGGATAACCATCTAGAGGAAGAAAATGTGGTGCATGAGGGGGAAAGAGTTTATAGTAGAGTAAACTTTATATATAATCTCAGAAAAGTTGACAAAAAGGGGCAACTAATTCTAACCTCTGCAACTTTAGCTTGAAGGTCTGGGGTCAAGTGGTCTTCTAATGTAATTATGACAGGGTAAGGAGATTTAATAAATGCATGGTCCCGTATGGACTTTAAGCATGTAAGGAGCGTCACGGGCGTGGTCAGGGTCCTGGAAGTTATCATAACTGTAATTCTCAGCACAAACTCATTAAGAACTCGTAAAAGCTCAAGAGCTATTCAGACATCATATGCTAGTCGAACACTCTAATTATTCTAGTTTAATACATTAATCACAGCAATAAGCGATAATAGACGAATTAGTCTCAACATTAAGAAGTGCTTCAAAGGATTCAATATTGGATAAGTCTATATATTTACTTTTCATTTCTGGTAAGATGACTATGAAGAACTTGATAATCGATAGAAGAAATTTATTTGAGCACAAACATCTGAAGAAGATAAAGAATTCCATCCGCATTCATCTTATTGAAAATTAACTTTCATCATCATCAACTTTTTGTTCTATGTAGTTAGTAATTAAATTGAGGGTGGATCTCATCAATATCTACACTAGAGGGTTTGTGGAATTTACGAAGATCTCCAGAGGTTTTACCACGCTTCTGCTTCCACCAAGTCATAGATCTCTTAATCAATATCAAAAAGATGAGAGTAAAGAATACAAGATGAATCAAGGATCATACCATACCTTCCATGAAGAACATGCACATTATCTTTTGCTGAATTCGGCCATAAATCTAGTTCTATTCCTCGCACTCCTCTTTCCAGTGCTCTGATGATTGGAATTTCACTACAATCGCTGCTTAGTTGGTTTCCTGTTAGGTAGGAGTTGTGACCTGTATAAATGAAATAATGTTGCAACGGAGCATTCATATCATGATGTACCTGGAATGGCATAAGTTATCAAGGTAAATCTAGATGTATCTACAGGTAATTTTCTAGTCATTTCTGCGTAAACAACAAATATACAGAATTCAAGACTAGAAATCACTAACCCACCCCAATTCTTTAAATGTTAAAGAAAAGGGTGTTAGTAAAGTTCATTTGATGTACTCCAACATTTTTGCACCTTAACGTTAACCTTACAAATTCTACTCCTAAAAGAAAAGCTCAAGATAGACAAATTCCTTTTTGTTGGTTTCTCCGGTTTGAAATACAGAATTTGGAAAGTGTTATTATAAGGGCCAACGACATTAACCAAATTCATCACATGGATGTCCATGCGTTCCAAAAGAGACTTGGCACACTGAACTGATATTCCCAAGAATGAGTCGTCTCACGAACGAGGTGGCCTGCAGACGCACATCGATCAACCATCCATGGACGTGCATAGTAGCCACCTGGCAAGCATCCTATCCTTACGAATGCCACTACATATCCACTTTTTGGGTCTAATAACCAAAGTTGAGAGGGAAACAGTATCAAGTCGAACGCTAAAATCCCAAAGTAATCACTCAGTGATAAAAGGAGTGATCAAGCAATGACAACCAGAAGATGAGCTTGAAAATAACCATCCTTTGAAGAAAGCATAGTTGCTCATTAGTCTAGATCAAGGCATTGAAAACATTTCGGGCTCAAGTGATTCACCGAAGCGGCCAACCCTTGAAAGTTGTTTCTACAAGTATCAGAAGCAGAATGCTCTGTCAATCCAGTAACTTTTTTGGTGACAAAACCAGGAGATATTAGTGGTGAAAATGATGATATGAGTGACAACAAAATCTATGAACAACAGGATCGCCTACAGGGGAAAGGTTTCAGTCAATCTATGCAGAGTAAATAGGTCTTTAAGGAACCCCCAAAACGATTGGCATCTGATGGGTGCACGAAAGTTGCGAAGTTGCTTTAGTTATAGAACCATGCCCGTCTGTTGGAACAAATAGGATGATCAGTCCGAGGGTTGTCCTCTTTGATTAGTAATATATACAAATGGAAAGATAAAATTCATCCATCTGTCCTATCCTAATTACATTTTGATATCTAAAATTAATCAATTTCATTTAACATTTGATTCAAAGAACTATGTTTACCACTGCCCCTTCTCCTAATGAAAAAACTTTGCTACAATAAACAGTGGATGGTCTGTAGTATCTGAAGCACTAGGGTGATCCAGTAGCCAGGGAAGGGACTACAACTGCCTACTACTAAATCACACTTCACTCAAAAGGACAAGAGCGCCAACTAACTCCACCTCTAGCTCTAAAGGGCTCCATAAAGTTGTGAATGCTCATGTCTGTCTATGTAGTCACTCTTTTAGTTCCTAAAACTTGAGGCTGAGGTATTCTACTCTTTGCGTGACTCAACGCAATGCTTCCAGTACAGGCTTTTGATTGGAAATAAGATAAAGGAAATTTAAAAAGGACCATAACAGATCTATGATTAGCCCTCAGTTGGGATGGTCATGTCGAATTAAGAACTTGGTTTTTTTAAGAGAAGGAAACTTAAGATAAAAGATCTATAGAAGCAGCAGGGCTGGATTTGCATGTGAAAGCTCAAATTACCTAATGCCTATCGAATAGGAGGCCTACCCAGGATTCAGCGTTTAAGGTGTTTAAGACCTCTCCCAAAAGTAAGTAGGAGTGCTCGTACTTTCTGGCCTATTGCCTTATCGTTTATAAATCTTACTTCAACAATATTTTATTTTTTCGCGAGATTTAGTTTGAATAGTTGTTTCAGTAGTTGCGTTTGCTATAGTCCCCTTGAAAGAGGAGTAGGGCTCAGACTTTGGACTCCAGAGCGTAGTCTAATAATAATAATCATTTTCTAAATCTCTTACTTACTCCCTCTTGCAATTATCTCTCAAGCCACAGCAAACAAGAAAAGAGAGAATGACCGCACAAAGTTACTAAAAGCAGGCAATCCATCTGATAGTGACCAAGTGGAGAAACACGAGAGAAAGACAAGTATGTATTACTGTTATTGTCTATTCATTGTTCGACAATCATCAACACCTACCTAGGACAGTTATGTCGCTTGGAGCGAGTATGACTATAAATACGATAGAACACAGAGAGAAAGAGGGTGGGGAAAATTTTAGAGAGTCAATTCTATAAAGGTTTCAAGTTACAGTTTCCTATTCTATTCTTCCTTTTTACATATGTTTCTACTCTGGGGAAAATCAGTCGAGTATTGCTTAAGTATCGGAATTTGATCACTAGCTGTGCAGGAATCTTTACATTGATAATATCTTTCTCATTGACCAGGCCAGAGAGCAACCCCTAGGGCAGTTGCTTCGACCACCTGATACAATCGAGCTCAGCATTTCGTCCACTGGGGAATCCGTTTGTCAACAAAAGGCATCGCAATTCAACACTCCCACGTAAGTGGAGCGGAATCTTTAATGGCATTACTTAGTCATGACCATCTCAATCATTACTCCCTAGTGTCTAAATTTCCTTTTTTTTTCTTTTTATCTGGAAGAAAGGCACATTCTTCACTAAATTATCACAGTGCAGTTAAATTATTACAATTTTAACTGCCTAATTGGGAACCATAACATAACTCAGCCAAAAATTTAAAAACATTAAAAGGGGAGAGGAAAAAACGGAAAAAAGAAAAACCTGAGATATGATGGGACCATTGAGATCATCCTGGAATAAATAATAAAAGAAATCTTCAAGTTCAAGAGAAGATGCATGGCGAGTATACTTTGTGAGATGATGGCGGCGATTGAAAACTTGCTGTATAATTTGTTGAGCATCATTAATGGTGCAGCCTTTCTCACCCTGGTACTCCACCAAAAAACGAGCCAATTGATCTGCAGTCATGTGTGTCCCTTTTTCTGCGTATAAGGAAAATGCATCCCTAACGTCCGGCGGTGGCCCTGTCTCGCTGATCTTGAACTTCCTGTTAAAACACCCCAGCACTTTGTAATAATTGTAACTCCCCATTTCTCAATGCCATCAATTTCTACAACATGATTGAGAATAGTTTTTGAAATTCTTGCTTTTCAATGTAATTGGCTGAGTTCGGTTCTTGATCATGCTTGTTCCTGTATTTTTCTCGAGGAGAGATAAGTAAACGGAAAAAAAATGGAAAAAAAAATGGAGAAAATGGGTGAGGAGAGGAAGACTTTGAAGGGGTGTTGGAGCAAAATTTGAGGAGCATCGGAAGGTAATGTGGTTGGAGACAACGTTTATAATATAAAGAAAAAACAAAATAAAAAGACCATAGCGGTTCGATGCACTGTTCCATCCGTCCATCCCGCCATTTTTTTTTTTTTTCATTTTGGTTTCCTCCTCAGTCTGAGTCATTAATATTTATTTTTTTTAATGTTCAATTTCTTTTGGCAGCAAGAGTGTCCGTGCCAATTTGGTGCCCTTTAACTATTCCATCTAGTACCGACAAATTTTATTTTGTGTCTCACATATCATATCATATTTATGTGAGGCTCTCATATTGCTTGACAAATGGACGCACCGGTCCTGCTTGTTATTTTAATAGATAAAACTAAAAAAAAGCAACTTAAAAGTTTATACTTTTCCTAGTTAAGATGCTTAAATTAAGGATCAAAATAAGTAACAAAATAATAATATTACTAATAATGGTAATAAAATATTTGCCATGAGAAACTTAACATTTACAGCCGTTTTTTTTTTTTTGACTGGCACTTGAATTTAATTCACTTGTATTGAAGAAAAAGAAAAGCAAAATAAACTTTTTATTCAAAGAAATACGATTTGAACTTTGAACAATGAGGTAAGACATTAATATTTTAGAGTTGTATTTAATTTACTACGTATTTTTTAAGTATGCAGATTGTTTTAGAGAGTGATAATAGTTAATCTTATATTTATTACTATTATTTATGTGTAAATAAAATTTCTCAGTCAAATAGACTTTAAACTAGTCACGTTCCAAGAGGAAATTGTAAACGTTAAGCTTCTTAATGCAGATATCTTATATTATTATTATTATTATTATTATTACTACTACTACTTATTTTGGTCCTTAATTTAAGCATCTTAAATAGGAAAAATATGAACTTTTAAGTTGCTTTTTTTGGTTTTATCTATTAAGTTAGCAAGTGAAATCCATGAGTCCGTTGTCAAGCAATAAGAAAGCCTCACATAAATATGACATGGCATGTGAGACATAAAATAAAATTTTTCGTTTCACATGCCATGTCATATTTATGTGAGGCTCTCATATTGATTGACAAATGGACTCACGGGTCCCGCTTGCTACGGTCAGCTCTTAGAACCGGATGCACATGGTAGAGGATGGGCCGATGAGCGTGGGTCAAGTAGGATTGGCAGGCTTCTCGACTGGCAAGCCTCTGAAGAACATGTAACCTTAGGTGAATCCCATATCAAAAAGGGAGAGGAAACTGAAATGCTTTATAAGGCATGACAAAAGTTTACATAGTACGCGCACTTTTAGAGCTGAGGGTGGTGCAACCCGAAAGACAATTCGTGTGGGCCTAAGACCAAAGCCGACAATACATGTCATAGGCTTGGGTCGTGACAAATATGGTGTCAGAGTCGAATCTCGCTTAGTATGATGATGAGGCAAACCTCACCAACCAACTGAGTTTAGGTGAATCACACATCTTTGAAAAGGTGGTGGGCAAACTTCGGCGAGGAAGCTGAGTCCTGGGGAGGGGGGGGGGGNCTAGGCTAGCAAGCTTCTGAAGAGGGGTGCGCATGTCATCTTAGATGAATCCCACATCGGAATGGGAGAGGAAAGTGAAGTGCTTTATAAGGCATGACACAAGTTCACATGATATGCGCTCTTTTAGGGCTCAAAGTAGCGTAGCTTGAAAAACAAATCCATATGAGCTTAGGCCTAAAGCGGAAAATACATGTCATGGGCTTGGGTCGTGACAATCATATAGTCATAGAATCAGTAAAATATAAATGAAAATTTCACGTAGGCATAATCTTACGCTGAACATTTGTCGGATATGGACAACCTAGATACGTATATATACTCGTCACCTTGCATATACATGACACCTAAATCGAGCAACAAGTAGCCAATAGATCATCTATGGAGAGAATTCCCTCTTACAAAGATAAACAAGAGACTTACTTCCACCTAGTAATCTTCAACCTTCCAAAATAGCTTCCCTTTCAAATATACCTCCAAACGAGTCGAATCCAGTCAAATACAACTAAATAATATCAAACAAAGCCATAGGAATCAATTCCAAATAATAAAGCTTCAATCTTTAATCAAATTCTCAAAAGTCAATAAAAGTCAACCAGGGCCCACATGGTTAAAACCCGAGTCAAGGGGTAGGTCTTGACTACTCATAATCCCATGAGTCGAAATATGTGGTTAGATTCTAAAATCGAGTCCAAATCGGCTCCAAAATCCCCAATTTACATTCTCCAAAATTATAGTCAAAACTTCCAAATTTCTCTCTTTCAAATCCCATAATGTTTGTGTCCATGGGAAAATACAATATGATATCTAAATCAAGTAGAAATTACTTGCCCTCTTCCCCTGTGTGAAAATCCTCTTTGAAAATCAACCCTCTCCAAGTCTAGGTTTCAAAAGATGAGAGAATGGGGTAAAATTATGAAATATAACACTCAAGTGTTCTACCCAGTGATATTGTATACGGTGAAATCGGAGGGTCCAATTTCTCGTTATCGAGGCACTTCAGAAGACCATTTCGAAGTCTTGATACTATAAGGCTATGGTCAAAGTTTCCTCCCTCGAGGTTCATCGACGCCCGACCTTGGGAAAATGTTGATCGCGGCTACGGTAGAAATGGGGAGTTCCCAAGGCACATGGCTAGGACTGACGGAGCCTAGCGGACTACCCTAACCCTGAATCAGGGTGTCATCTTGCTGTCCCGTCCCATTATTTTTGTAATTAATGCATTTTGTACTATGTTGGATTCCTCTCCTATATAAAGGGGATCCTTATCATTTTGTAAACCCATGTTGTTGCTTCAGTTGCTCCACACGAAATATACAAGAACATTCTCTTTGCTTTCTAACATATTCTCTTGATATTGTTGCTTCCATTTATTATCTTCATTATTGTTCATCATTTATTGGTTATCATTGGCCATAACGAGCTTCCGTTAATTTTATGATAACTGTTAGCCATACCCCGATCACCTTCGATAGCTCCCAGCCGAGCTCCAAAATCGACCTTGAGGCCCCCGAATCGATAAGCTCGAGGCCCTGATAATGAACTTGTCAGTTTGGTTATCACCTTATCCTTAACTCTCATTTCGTTTCTAAGTCTCACATACATAGCATCAATTGCTTAACAACTAGAATAAAAATAGATCACATATTTTTAGAGTCCCATAATCAAATTTAATTGTTATTACCATTTTCACGGTAAACAGTTTTGCGCCCACCGCGGGGCTAAAAATAATAGTGATTATTTTCTTGCTGGTTTTAATACATAATGCAAGTTATCTTTCACTCTTTTTCTTGTCCAAGATCTTCGATTGCAGGTCGAAACGTCTAACTCGGTGAATGGAGGTGAAAACAACAATCTTGAGGACCACAGAGAAAATGGCGTGAGTGTTCCAGGTGTTGGTGTGCCACCACGAAACCCTGGGAATGCACCAGAACCAATCCCTGTGAACGCGGTCTCACGCGACGCTCAACACATCGACATAAGCTCCCACATTGACAGGAGCGTGCACTACGGAGACCGACAAGAAGCTTAGAAAACCCCGGCTAGGGAAGAACAAAAGGTTAGCCTTTACGTTATTTTTGAAATGTTGTAGGCACAACAGCTAGCGAATGCTCAATTACAAAGTCACCAGAAAACTCCCAACATGGTAGCACTGGAGACAGCTCCCCCAGCCGAACATGTACCAGAGAGATCGAGCAATAACGAGTCGATGACCGATCCCGCCATAGTAAAAATGCTCGAAGACCTTACCAGAAGGATCGAATCGGGCAAGAAAATGATAGAAGCCAACGACAAGAAGGTCGAGACATACAACTCCAGGGTCGACCAAATTCCGAGCGCACCCCCGGTCCTGAAAGGTGTGGATTCGAAAAAGTTCATACAAAGGTCGTTCCTAGAGGAAGCGGCTCCGAAACCCATTCCAAAGAAGTTCAGAATGTCAGGCCTCCCAAAATAGAACGGGACCTCAGACCCAGATGAGCATGTTACCGCTTACACCTGTGCAGTAAAGGGCAACGACCTGAAGGACGACGAGATCGAGTCCGTCCTACTGAAAAAATTCGGAGAAACACTTTCTAAAGGGGCAATGATAAGGTATCATAACTTGGCCCCAAACTCCATAGACTCATTTTGCCATGCTGGCAGATTCCTTTATAAAGGCGCATGCTGGGGCCATCAAGGTGGCCACAAGGAAATCCGACGTCATCAAGATCAAGCAAAAGGAAAACAAAATGTTGCGAGAGTTCGTATCTCATTTCCAAAGTGAACTAATGGAACTATCACCGGTCTCTGATGACTGGGTGGTGCAAGCCTTCACTCAAGGTCTAAATGAGCAAAGCTCGGTGGCTTCGAAGCAGCTGAAAGATAATTTGGTCGAATATCCTGTCGTGACCTGGTTGGACGTCCACAATCGATACCAATCAAAAATCAGGGTCGAGGATGACCAGCTAGGAGCCCACTCGGGCTCAGTATACCCAAGCAGGCTTCTGGCGAAGGAGACAAAGCCAAACAAAGAATGATATCCGCCATACATCGAATATAGAAGGAATGCCCCGAGGCGCAACCTACCTCAGAACGATCAAAGGGTAGACCGATGACAGGACCCTCGGGGACTCATCAACAGAGCCGGATTCGATAGGAACGTAGGGCCAACAGAGGCACCTCGCTTATCAGAATACAACTTCAATGTCGATGTATCGGACATCGTGTTTGCCATAGGTACAATCAGAGACGCCAGATGGCCCAGGCCTATACAATCGGATCCTTCACAAAGGAACCATAACTTAGTGTGCGAATTCCACAACACGCACGGACACGGGACCGAGGATTGCCGGCAACTCCGGGAGGAAATGGCCCAATTACTCGACAATGGTCACCTTCGGGAATTCCTCAACAACCGAGCCAAAAATCAGTTTTGAGAAAGAGAAACAACAAAAAAGAACAAAGCAGATGAGCCACAACATGTCATCCACACGATCTTTTGAGATAGCT